TATGGCATATTATCATTTCTCACACACTTTGTTATTGGCTATTAAGGTCAATTATTTCAAATGCTGTTAGCTGTCCATATTGTTGTAAAATGTATAAATACCATGGCTTTCTTTATCGTTGTTGCACTTCAATACACAGTCACAGTCCAGCCTTTGTCTTTTGATATTTGCGTGCTTTGCTAAGTCGGAAGGTACGACGAGCAGATAGACAGATTAGTTCAGGCGCAGACAGAATAAGGTGAAAACGTCTTCATTCAACTCCCTACCGTTATAACAAATTGGCGACGGGGTTTAACTTAATTCAGTGCAGTTATAACAATAACGCTTTGGCGTTTGAAACTATGGGCACTGGGTTCGAGCCTCAGTGGGAATATCATCACTCACTGAGAAATGCAGGTACATCCAGCTGATGAGTCCCAAATAGGACGAAATGCGCATCCTGGATTCCACTGCTAGCCACCATCCACCAATCGTATACTAGTTATCGGATATGGCCAAGAATCGTAATCAATGACGAATGTGTTGCGATTTCCTTCTTTCTTCCCTTCCCGATGATAGTCAACGAACACTGTTTGAACTTGTTAAGCATGAGTGTTTTCCTTTCAGATGAAGTTCTTTTTCCGTTCTCTACTTATATATATATATATATATATATATATATATTAATATATATATATATATATATATATATATATATATATATATATATATATATATTATATATATATATATATATATATATATATATATATATATTTCTGTTCCTTCCTTCCTTCCTTTTTTTATCTTTTTTATCTATGTTGTTTTATTATTATTGTGTGGCACATCTTTCTTGGTGCCATATTGTACCAAGTTTTTTTATGCGTTTAAATAAATAAATAATGACTCCATTATAGCAAAACGTCTGGAAGGAGGGAAAGGTGCCTGCTGACTGGAGGAAAGGTTACCTGGTGAAACTACCAAAGAAGGGCGACTTAGGCCACACCCGGCAAGAACTGTCGGGGAAACATGCTCTTGTCGACGCCAAGTAAAATCCTGAGTCACATCATCTTAGAGAGAATAAAGGAAGCACTAGATGCAAAAATTCCGACCAGAAAAGCTGGAATCAGGAAAGGCAAATCCTGGTCTGACCAAACTGCAACTCAACGAATCATCATCCAACAAACATGGAATGGCAATCAAACATCTAACTCAAATTTATAGACTTCGAGAAGGCCTTCGACAGCGCTGATCGAAAAGTAATTTGGAAACTACTCCAACACTACGGCGTACCCCAAATGTTCATCAACCTTATTCAACAGCTGTACGACAACGGCACATGTCAAGTCATCCACAACAGAAAACTCAGCGAGGTGTTGGAGTAAACACAGGAGTCAGACAAGGGTGCTTATTATCACCGACGATGATATTCCTAATCGTGGTGGACTGACTGGATTATGCATCAGACAGTGGGAAACGAGAAGACAGGGATATCCTGGACCGACGTGAAGAACCTAGAAGACCTGGATTTCGCGAGTGGATGATATATGTTTGATGTCACACACACACAAAATCGAAGACGTACAAGCGAAAACTGACAAACTGGTCGAAGAAGCAGCTGACGAAGACAGGACTCCAGGTGAATACAGGTGAACAATACGGAGGTTATGAAAATAACCAACCAAACAATAACAACAATTACAGCAGCAACATCCAGTGCCAATCACCATCAACGGGAGGGATTTGAAAGAGGTTACTTCATTCACTTATCTAGGGAGCATTGTGTCAACTGCTGGCAGTCGGAACGGACGAGGATGTCAAATCGAGTGAGAATCGGGTGGTGTGTGAGAAACACATTCACTCATCAACCTGAAACCAATCTGGAGATCTTCGTCACTCAGCCAGCATCAACAACAAAATTCGGCCGAATTTCCAATACAAATGTCAAGTTAGTCAGTTCTTCTATACGGATCAGAGACTTGGCGGGCGGGTCACAAAGAATATTTCCAACGGCCTGTTGCAGACCTTCATCAACCACTAACTGTCTTCGCTGGCTCTATACTGAAGATCAGATGGCCGGGCGGGCCGGAAAGCATCACCAACAAGAAACTATGGGAACAAACAAACAAAACAAGAACCAATCGCCAACCAACAAATATGCAGGAGAAAGTGGAGATGGATTGGATACTCGCTGAGGAGGCCTGTCGGTGACATCGCGTGTCAGGCCATTTCTTGAGTGGAACCTGATAGGCGGGAAGCGGTGAGTGGGTCGTCAGTGCAAGGGTGACATGGAGGAGATCGTGTGAAGAGGAGTTGATAGAGTATGGACTAACATGGATGCAGGTGAGACGTACATCAGAAGACGGAAGTGGTATGTGGAGTCGTGCAGTTGAAGCCCTATGTTCCACTAGGAACCCAAGGAAACAATAATAATAGTACATATCGCAATAGGAATTTTCCGTGAAATATACTGTAACCATTCCCAACATGAATTCTGTTATAAATTAGTTTGTAATAATTTTGTATAGTCAATCATTTTTAAGGTTGCTTACTGTTTATTTAATAGCTAATTAACTTTACTTAATGAATTGACAACTATGCTGACGTATGTATGTAAGTGTGTAACCTTCGTTCGCTGTGTTTTCCTTTGTCTGTGTATTTCTCAACTTTACGCTAAGCACTTAATACTTACTTAATGTTTTCAGTTGAATTATGAAAAATGAATTATGGTCGTTATGAAAATTATCGTGTTTTTAAGTAACTATTTCGTGGTTTTTCATAGATCAAAGCGAAATTCATGGAAAGAAATAGAAATTGATATTAAAAATATTTTGTAAAGTGTCATTAGTAGGTAACCTAAATGTGTGTGAACTTAGGGTTTGACCTTAAAACAGTGAGTCATTCGCCTGGGCCTTGGTCTGCTTACTAAGAAATGTGCAATCTGTTAGTAAGCATTATCGGCCTTTAAACAGTATGTGTAGCTCAATGTCATGTGTAAATATATGGATTTAGCTTTCGAGTAGCTTCAAGATCTTTTGAAAACTCGATGTAAAAAATAAATTTAGGGTACATTCCGACATGAATGAAATAAATTGAAGAAAGTGCTGAAGTCCCAGAAAAGCCTAGATGTTGCTTGTTTAGAAACTTCATTATTTCTGAAGAAGTCTTAAGAACCAGACGGGCCTCAGGTATGAATAGGATTTTATCTCCTTTCAGCAGACTTAGAAACATATGCACTTTATCGGCATCCAACAATGGATATGGCAGTTCTTCTGTGGGTGCGATTCTATTTCGTCGACGGAGAAGCGCTTTTTTGATGTCTGGATGCGCCAGGAGTGTCGTGGAAGTTTGTTGAACTAATCGAGGCAATCAGTGTACTTTAACTCATTCAACTGTATAACAGCTTGTAGAGATTTGTCATCTGAATTTATGACAACTAGTCTGCCTTTCATGGCTGTTCACTGTCTCGATTTTTACTCAATTTCATCATGGCTGTACTAACGGATGTGACCGTGATCGAATTCGATGACTTTGGGATTGACAAATTATCAAGGAAGAGTTTCATGTGTGGGTAACTTCGTCGTTTTGGGCGAGGATGCTTGTAGAATGCAGAGTTTTTCGAACACCTTAACCAGTCATCCTAACATTTTTATTATGCGGTGTGCCTCGGTAAAATATACGATGATGTTTTAGTACAGGGAGTGAAATAGTCGAAAATATTGACTATCTAACTCATTTAAGAGGTTTCATCAAGCTCAATGGACGAAATCTTAAGTCAGATAGAAACAGTTTGATTGGTATTTTCCAGCTTGTATCGTCTTTGGTACAGAGGTGATATTCAGCTATTCATCAAATGATGCACAAAGCGTGCAGCAGTTTCCCGAAGAGGTTAGTCTTTCTCAACCAAATGCATCTGCGTTTTACTCCTCATAAAAGTTTGTATAATACATTTGTTAATAATGAGGTAAGAAGTAGAGTGTTAGGTGAGAAGGGAAGGTCAATCAATCTAGTTTAATCACATGAAAAATATATAAAACTTACGGTGCATACATTCTTAGTAACTGCATATTCAGAGAAAATCTTAAAGCGCTAGATTAATTGATAACTCATCTGATCGTCATATCAGTCTTTTATGAGAACTTGTTAATATGCGTCATCGATGAATACAACAAAACTAATCTGTATTTTTTGGTTGAAGGACTTCATCAAGAGCTGACATCAGTTAGAGAACCATTGGAAAACCGAGGAGTACTGGATAGCTGTTTCGTCCATTAAGCCGCTGGGACCCTATCCAATGGTCTACGAGCTCGCCTTACATCCACAAGGTCCTGGGTTCGAAACCTTGTGATGGATGTGCACTGATGAAGAGTCCCAAACTAGGATGAAGCAGCTGTCCAGTACCCCCAGGTTTTCCAGTGGTTCTCTAACTGACGTCACCTCATGATGAAATCCCCCAACCAATCAAACAAATTATCTTACGAAACCAGTACTTGAAAATTCATCTGTTTTTTTTTCTCGTTAGGGTTAATCCGTCAGTAAGTCACTTTATTTGGTTAATAATCTACTTCTGAGGTAAGCAAATCCTAGTAGGTGATGACATAAATATGATACTAATTTTGGTAATAATAATTTTTAATAATAATAATGCTAATTTTTGGACGACGAAAGCTCCGCAACTAAACAATCCAGCTCAGAGAACATTAATTATTGCAAATCATTCACCTGAGTTACAAATCTTCTCTAGCATTTCTTCACTATTCAAATAATAAAAGTTACATTTACCAGTGACATATGAATTAGATAATGGTTGCACCAGACTGTAAATGGAATGAAGTAAGAAATTACGCTTCATTTAAAACAAAATAGTTGACTGAATAACATAATGCTCAAATAGACGTAAGAAAGTATCCCGGGGGGAACTCATGAATTTTTCATAAAACGAACTAAAACGAAGCGAATTCTCAAAATAAATTTCAATTAAACATAAATATAAGATGACTTTTATTTATTTATTAATATTATCATATATTTATTAGGGATAGAAATAAAAGTTCATTTAAAATATAAATTACTATTGAAGCATCTTTATACTCGCCAATAGCCATTGTTCTCTTTGTAATACCGAACATCCATGACATAATCACAAATATAGCCTAAGTAATAGGGTCAGACAAAGAAAATGATCATAACCATGAACTATGGAGAAGGATAAAATTCATAACAAGATTATTATTACTACTGTTATTATAGGTTTTAGTGTATGCTGATATCAAGAGAATGGATTACAGCTGAAATATGATATCGCATTAGTTAGATAAATAAAAATAAAAAAAATAAAAATAAAAATACTGATAAAGAGTCCCAAAGTGGGATGAAAAAGATGTTCATTACTTTATGGATTCCAGTGGTTGTCTAACTAGTTTCAACTCGCGATCTAACCTGAAATCAGTCAAATCTCTGCAAACGAACACCTGAAAAAATATTCTATCAACTGCTGAGCACACTCATATAAGGCGAATCGCCTATTGAATAGTCTAAACTAACTAGGTATAATTTTATGTTGTTTTTTTTAAAATTTTGATCAGTTGCAAACTTTCAGCATATTTCAAACAAACAAGGCCTTTAAAGTCAAGTAACATTTTAAATTACTGACAAGATAATAATCGGATTTAATTTATTTAAGTCAACCTTATAGACTCTGAGTAGGCCTTCGACAGCGCTGATCGAAAAGTAATTTGGAAACTACTCCAACACTACGGCGTACCCCAAATGTTCATCAACCTTATTCAACAGCTGTACGACAACGGCACATGTCAAGTCATCCACAACAGAAAACTCAGCGAGGTGTTTGGAGTAAACACAGGAGTCAGACAAGGGTGCTTATTATCACCGACGATGATATTCCTAATCGTGGTGGACTGACTGGATTATGCATCAGACAGTGGGAAACGAGAAGACAGGGATATCCTGGACCGACGTGAAGAACCTAGAAGACCTGGATTTCGCGAGTGGATGATATATGTTTGATGTCACACACACACACAAAATCGAAGACGTACAAGCGAAAACTGACAAACTGGTCGAAGAAGCAGCTGACGAAGACAGGACTCCAGGTGAATACAGGTGAACAATACGGAGGTTATGAAAATAACCAACCAAACAATAACAACAATTACAGCAGCAACATCCAGTGCCAATCACCATCAACGGGAGGGATTTGAAAGAGGTTACTTCATTCACTTATCTAGGGAGCATTGTGTCAACTGCTGGCAGTCGGAACGGACGAGGATGTCAAATCGAGTGAGAATCGGGTGGTGTGTGAGAAACACATTCACTCATCAACCTGAAACCAATCTGGAGATCTTCGTCACTCAGCCAGCATCAACAACAAAATTCGGCCGAATTTCCAATACAAATGTCAAGTTAGTCAGTTCTTCTATACGGATCAGAGACTTGGCGGGCGGGTCACAAAGAATATTTCCAACGGCCTGTTGCAGACCTTTATCAACCACTAACTGTCTTCGCTGGCTCTATACTGAAGATCAGATGGCCGGGCGGGCCGGAAAGCATCACCAACAAGAAACTATGGGAACAAACAAACAAAGCAAGAACCAATCGCCAACCAACAAATATGCAGGAGAAAGTGGAGATAGATTGGATACTCGCTGAGGAGGCCTGTTGGTGACATCGCGTGTCAGGCCATTTCTCGAGTGGAACCTGATAGGCGGGAAGCGGTGAGTGGGTCGTCAGTGCAAGGGTGACATGGAGGAGATCGTGTGAAGAGGAGTTGATAGAGTATGGACTAACATGGATGCAGGTGAGACGTACATCAGAAGACAGAAGTGGCAAGTGGAGTCGTGCAGTTGAAGCCCTATGTTCCACTAGGAACCCAAGGGAACAATAATATTAATAATAATTTTTTTTAATTCACAGGCTCATAGTGATAATCGAAGTCTATCGATTATATATTACCAGAAACTATAAACTGGTGATATTTTTTACAGTTTCAACAGACTGCTTCTCTACGTGATCTTGGTTTTGTGCTTATTGGTATATATCAGCAAAGAAAATCCTGCTGATATCTTTCAAATGGCAGTTTCACTTTAACTTTATTACCCGAAACAGATCATTCGTTCACCAGGTTAAGGAGCACACAGTTTGTGTGAGGGCAAACGATACTAACCAGTTTCCCAGACTGAATTAGGAAGGTAGGGTCTTGAAATCTTAATCTGCTGGCAACCTTATGAAGTGCTTAAGCAAATGATCCATATTTTCACAAATGGCAGTTTAATAGCAAACTGGCTGACTGGTTTCAATAAAAGCAGCAGTTCAAGGTGCCGATCTTCACGTAGTACTCAAAGCAAAAGAAGAGAACAAATAGAGATAATAAACAGAAGTGTAGTGAAAAGAGAATCGTAAAACAGAAGAACAGTAAAATTTTATTGGATATATCAAATGACAGAGAGTAAATGCATCTGCCCCACTGAAAACAGTTTTGAGCCGCATCGTCAGTTGTCTCTGGAAACTGGGTCGTAGAATCCAAGGACCCCAATTAGGGAGCTTACACCTCCCCATGTGGCTGAAACTAACTGTGTAAAGATGGTGATAGTTTCGGTTTGACCACCACTAACCCTTTTTCAACCTGATACTATGTCAGCTAACATCTCCCATCAAGAAATGCTATGGCTAGGCATGAGTAACACATGTCCCAGACATCTCAATCGATGGAGCTATAGCGACTGACTTTCCCTTCTTACTTAACACTCTACGCCCAAGCTCAATATTATTCCATTCTATTATGCTACCTAACACCGTGGGTAGGAAAAAGATAGCTACGTACAAATATATCAAGCCTTTCATATCTTGTTTAATGATAAAGTTTTTCATTTGCTCAAATAGTGGTATATATATATATATATATATATATATATCAAGTAAGTTGTAGGGCCTTGAAAATCAAATGGTACAATTATGGGCAGTGAATCGTGGTCGAAAAGTTACCCAGTGATTAATACTGTCTTAATATGTGTTATATCGAAAAAAACTTAGCTAACGTGGTAGTGAGTAAGATTTTTCTGCTTTTCATCATTTAACTGATTATGAAAGCGTTGAGAAAATGCTATCTGAATTTCGATCAAACACGAACCAAATTAGGTAACTTTGTATACACAGTCAGTTATTTTCACGGTAAAAAGTCAAATAAACATTCTAACTGTGAAAGCTTACAGAGCTAGAAATGAACATTGATCTTTAAAATACTCTGTTCGACATGCAAAGGTTCACAATTTTACGTGCAAAGTGGCTAGAATTAATTATTACGTCAAACTTTTATTTTCTTAGAATACACATTGTATTAGAATCATTATGCTTTACAATTTTGGCCGTTTTAAAATGGCTGGTTATCAAGTGTTGATTTACTGGGACTTGACTAGTTACAGGCTTGGTTACAACTATATATAAGAATTTATCCGGAATTCTAGTGAGAAATCTTTACCAGTGAGGTTCACTATGTCAGGCAAGAGAAGAGTTACTCGCCTATGAAATAGTCTGGCGGCTGCGCTAAATATCTGGAGTTTGTTAAATTAGCGATTCACGGGCCAGTGGATTGCATCCTCGTGGTTAAATTGTCTACAACCTCACCTTATAGCTGGTAGGCTCTGGACTGCAACCTTGGCGAAGGAGGCTGATGAGGAGCTATAATCTAGGGCAAAAATGCTGTCCAGTACTCCCAAAAAGCATAAAATCTAAACGTTATATTTGGAAAAAATATAAACTGAGGTGGGGGAAGTAGAATCATGCTACATTAGGCAACTATTGGTACAGAAAATATAGAGAACAATTAGGTAAAGATTAGTTAAGGTTTCCATGAAGTGTAAGATGATAAAGAGTCAGTATATCTCCGCTATTGTAAATAGTTTTGAAAAGTCATCAAAAGTCTCCAAACACTGACGCTAATACGGAAACTAAAATATATGATGAGACAAGTATAAATCCCAGTGATATGCCTGGGTATTAATAAATTCTGCATTTAAGAATATACCCACAGTTGTTATAAAGGTAGCCGCATTCTTTAATATCAACAACTCGATTAAGGGGCCTCTATCTGAGGAAACTTGCAGTAACTCAGTTTAACGGAGTGATCATCATCAGAGATTATAGTCTCTTAAGAAAGCATATTTTTAAGTAAGTGTGTTGGTCCAGTAATTTACAGGTTGTTCTCGCAATGTCAACAAACATTCGATAGCAGGTGTATCGGTTGTCTAAACCTACAAATTAAGATATATCATCGTAGTTTTATAAAACAGAACAGATGTATTCGGTCGTTAGTTTTGTAGTATGAATCCTTTCTTTAACTCTTTTGCCCATTTGGACCTGTAAATTCTCATTGTTGAATTAGACTCGATTCTGTTAACTGTACTACGAAATCCAACCCAGCAACTTGGTCTCACCCTGTTTCTGATATCTTATAATGTGATTATTACTTTCTGAACGTGAAATTAGTTTCAAATGTCCTGAACATTAATTAAAAAGGTAAAGAGTTAAGACATATTTGACAATATTTTTCTTTTGATATCAAGTTAATGTAATAGATTTGAGGTTGTACAACCTGAGAAGTAGTCGGTGAAAAGAGGCACTCTTTGTCAAATGTCTTTTGTTTTATTCTAAAGTAGGCTAAATTAGTCATTTCTTCTTTTCTGTAATGGATAATTATTTATTAGATATGCGATAATCCTGAGAAACTACTAAGCTAAATATCCAGAATCTCATGTCCTATACAAATATATACAAGAATTGTTTTACTACGAGAATTTTTATGTAAAATGTGCTACTGTTCAGAAAACTCCTTGGACACTAGGCGTCACGGCTTGATTCCCCGCCGACGCACTGCTATACCTCTCCTAGTTTACTGTTCTGTAACACTCCTGGAAGAGAAGGATGACTGGAGGTGAAGCCAGCAGCCAGATTCCGTAGAAATAAAACATAGTAGTTACCGAAACCGTTTAAAGCCCTATGTTCCATTCAGAACACAAAGGAATGAAGAAAGAGATGAATAGTAGGTGTATTAAATATTAACAAGTATTAATAGAATTTTAGGAAATATTAAAAAGTCGGTTCCTATGATCAGACTGAACCGTATTGACTAACGCTTGATTTCTATGATTTAGATGATATGTGTATGTTGTAAAATACTCAGCTATTCATGGAATAATAATGAATAGTGTTCCTACATACCATATATTTATAAAAAGCTTAACTTACTAAAATAATGCTCAAGGAGAATCCAACAGCCAGTGATCCTTGAATCTGAAATTCAAATGATAAGCTCTTTATGACAGATGGAAACTAAAAACAGTGTTTTGAGATATATTTAATCTTCTATAGTTTCGTTTGTAAGGGTTTGTTATGTTTTTACGAGTTGATCACGGACTGATATCAGTTAGAGAACCAGGGAGTACTGGACAGCTGCTGTTTCATCCTAGTTTGGGAATCATCGGCAGTACGCACCCACTGGGATTCGAACCCAGGACTGGTTCTCAATGGTTCTCTAACTGATATCAATCCGTGATCAACCCGTAAAACATAACAAACCCTTACAAACCAAACTATAGAAAATTAATCTGATGCTCGCTAGTGACTTGCTACAGGTTGGAGTTTCCTGAGTTCTAGTGAGAAGTTGTGACCAGGGAGGTCCAATTAGATGTCACGTGTGTGGATGGATGTCCCACCTACGACAATGGTTGGGGTCGCGCTAAATCACCAATTGTTGAAAGTTAGAATTTATGGACCGGCGATTGAATCGGGTCCCAGTGGCTAAATGGTATACGAGCCAGTTTGCCTTGTAACCGGAAGGTCCTGGGTTCGAATCCCAGTGGGTACGTATTACCGATGATTCCTAAACTTGAATATATTTAATCGCTGGATCGCTGTATAATATTTTATATTATGTTATCCAATTCATAATACTTTTTTCTATTCCTTTGCGTTCAGAACGCAATACTGAGATTCAAGAATATAATGTTTCATTAGCAGTGTTCTAGTGAATAATTTATTTCTAATGTCACACGAACTCAAAAATACATAGACTAAAATAAAAAAATGTGCACAAGAAACAGAGAAAACAAAGCTGACGAAGATACCTAACCAGTAACAACAAGCATAAATCACCATCAACGACAGAAATTCAAAAGTAACCACTACTTCTATTTATCCCAACATTATCCTCTAAAATACAGGAGGAGCTGACGAGGATGTCGATGGATTTGGAAGGCGAAACAGATCTTTATTACTCTACAGTCAGTGCGGAAGTCATACTGTATTCAACACAAGGATCAATATCTGGATTTTTAACAGACATTTCAAATCACTGTATGTTTTATAAACTCAGCTCTAGTGTCACCGAACAGACAGCTGCTGACTTTCATCAATAGCTGCTTCCTTCACCTCGCTACTGATAATCAGGTTGCCAGCCAGGCCTGATAATCAAGTAACAGAGAACTCTGGTACCGATTTTTCTAAGAAAACATACATCAAAAACTATGTAGAGATAAATGAAGATGGACAGGACATTGCGCTGAAGAGACCACCGAAGGATATCACATGGCTACACCTGGAGTCAAACCCAAATAGAAAGCGAAAGGCTGGGGTTTGAAGGAAAAATGCATTTCGTGTAAGTAGGCAGTAAAAGTTTTTAGCAGCTTTGGTGCCAACTGGAAGGGGTGGTAGAGAACCAAGTGCAGTGGCACTGTGCAGCTGAAGGCGTATGTTGCACTCGGGACTTAAGGAATGAATAACAACTATAACGTACCTCAGTAGTACACCTCATTCAAAGTAGTTCTCATTCAAGCTAGCAGACACAATCTGTCATCAATCCGGTCAATGTTTATGAGTAACTTTGAGAAGATTATGTTGACCAATTACATTTTAAACTGTTAATATTAGTAAAAAGGGCTCCGTAAAGCCTTCTGAGCTTTCTCGCTTAGGTCAAATACGTATTCACATCAGTGAAACTCTTCAAGCATTCAAGAATAAAACAAATAGAAAAGTTTACATATTATCTTTTAAATTAGCACGAAGAGTATGTATCAAAATACATATAGATATTGCTATTATTATTATTTTAACTTACTTGTGTATGTCCACTAGAAATGAAAGTTAAAAGGCCTTTAGCCCACGAGACCATAATAAGGGCAGTAAAAATGCCAATGATTTTGTTATACATTAAAGGTGTTATTTTGACATTGTATGTGACCAAAGCAATTAAAGCGCACAGAAAAGGAGTAATAGTCATCACTGACATAATCAATACACCCGAATAATAAATAGCTACAGGAGCGACTGATACAGTTGTAAGTATATTCTAAAAATGAGATAAATTAAACACAGCTAACTATATAATAATTAAGTCCTACACAATCGATTATGCATCACTCAAATGCTTCACTGACTAACAAATTCATGAAATAAACTAAGATTCTTATATTTACCGCTGAAATAGAAACTATATATATATATATATATACGTATTGCCGTTTCAGAAGATGATCAGTGGTTATATCCATTTTTAAAGAATAAAATCTAAAATTTAATCTACTAAACGTATTGTTTTATTAGAACAAGACATATAAGCGAACAATATTGTTTTCAATTAGATCTCCTTCAAGATTTACTCTAATTTACATAGATTTATATATAAATAGGTTTTAACCAATGGCGGTGATTTTGTGGATCAAATAATAATAATAATACTAATAATAATGTGGTAAATGTTATGAAAGAAGTTAATTACGACGGTTATAATGATAACAAAATATTGATAATAACAGATGGACATTGAAATTCCAGTTATTAGTCTGAATGGGTTGTTTTTAAGATGTACTATGAATGTACACTTCACATTCAACAACCTTTACTACAGGCAAATCGACGGTATTGCCATGTGTTCTCCATTGGGGCCAATTTTGGCAGATTTCTTTCTTACCAAGATTGAAAATGGTCCATTGAAACATGTAGTAGATAAAACGGATTCTTATTTTCGTTATGTTGATGATACGTTTATTATTATTGTTGATGTGAAAGCTGACAAGAATGAAATTTTAAAAAAGTTTAATGATGCACGTCCATCGCTCATGTTTAACTGTGAGGAAGAAGACGATGGTAGATTGCGCTTCCTTAGTGTCCGACTGTGCAGAAGAGAGGATGGTTCGCTCAAGCGGGGTGTCTATAGAAAACCTATATCTGTAGGACAATATACACATTCCCTCAGTTTTGTACTAATCTAATCCGATGAAAAATCAAGGAGGTCAGATGCGTCACGAATATAGCAAGAAGTATCTGTGTAGATGACTCCCTAGAAAATGAGCTAGGATACATCCAAAATACGTTGGTTAAAATGGGTTATCCAGTAGATTTGTAAGGAGACACATGAATACAAAGTACAATAAAGAGAAACTTACAACAGTTAAAAAGAAACAACTATTCATGAAACTGCAATTTAATGGGGGCGTGGCTAGCGAAGTCTTACCCCTGAGATTATCGAGAGCGATAAGACGGACTTATACTGCCGCCACCCTTTGTTTGGGTGCCGACCAATTTCGATTGCTCAAGTGAAAAATAAGTTACCTAGTTGTGACACTTCAATGTGTATCTATAAATTTAGTTGCTCCTGTGGAGAGAGCTATATAGGGCGAACAACTAGACAGCTTAACAACGCACTAATGAGCATCTTCCTTCATGGTTCGGAAAAGGTCAAATAAAATCTATATGAAGTTCTATTTTGGCTCATTTGATTGATAGCGGTCACCAAGTGGACAAAAATAGTGCCTTCAAAGTTGTCTGTCGCATTCCATCGAACGCGTCTCTTACACAGTCGAAGCTATGGGAATTCGCAAGAACAATCCTAGTCTTTGCATACAAAAGAAGTTTGTTCTACCTTTGTCTTTCCTTGGCCTAGTGAATTCTAGTCAAAACCCTCCCACCCTTCCTTATTTTCCATCTGCTTCGTACTTTTATGATATTTATTTAAACTGTGATTATATGTCCACTTCGCCTTTTAAGATTTGATCTAATTTATTTATTTATTGAATTGTCTACATATACACATATATAGATATACTACCTTTGTTATTCTTATCACCTGCATAAACCTTATTATCAATATTTTGTCATCATTATAACCATCGTTATTAACTACATTCAAAACATTTACCACATTATTATTATTATTATTATTTGATCCACAAAATCACCGCCATTGGTTAAAACATATTTATGTATAAATCTATGTAAATTAGAGTAAATCCTGAAGGAGATCTAATTGAAAACAATATTGTTCGCTTATATGTCCTGTTCTAATATTATAAGTGGGAGTATTGTTCTATAACTGCTTACATCCACAGATGATGTGAGTATACGTTTTCTACACCGTTATTATTAGTGCTTTGGGTTTCAAGTGGAAAATCAGCACACTTCCACTTGGCTCCATTCTCTGTGGTTCTTTTCAACCGGCTCTACAACTGTCTATAAGCTTTCATGTCCTCTTCAAGCGATCTACTCCATATCATCCTTGCACACTTAGCTGATCGTCTCTAAATCGGGTTCTACTTGAGGGAATAGCACGCTGTGTCCCTCAACAGTGTCTTCAACAAATGTAATCCACTCCGATTTCCTTCTGTATATGTTCTGGACAACAGGTTCTTGATTGATATAATTGCCAGACCTTCTAGATGGTTATCCTTTGTAGCTATCTGACCTTCTTCAATTCAGAGACAGAAGTTAGCTGTTGATGAAATTCCACAGTCTTCTGGAAATGCTTTTCGTGACGCTTTATTGATCTTTAAGGCATATAAGTCCACTTCTGCATTTTGAAATGATGCATGAGATTTCCATCACAGGTGAATGATTTTTTCGGTATTGTTGTTGGACGGCAAAAATTGCAAAGTGTTATTTCTCCATTAACTTTAATGTGTATACTCTTAAAAATGTGTTTTTGGTTTAGATTTAATTATACGATGAGTGTTATGCATCATCTGTTGCCATGGTTACTGCATATTTCTCTAAAAGAAATTTATCATATCTAGCCACATATATCCTAAGAGTTGTATTCAGTAAAAGAGTAGTCTACTGTACCTACCATAATTCCAAGTGTTGTGATCGTTAGATATATATTGTTCTTTTTCCGTAGACTGAACATCCATTCAGAAAATGTAATTACAATTAGAATACTGTAGTGAAAGAAATGAGAATAAAAGGACCAGCATTCGATTCAACTAAATTATAACAGCAAAATGCAAACATTGAAATCCATCGCTTTTCTGAATGAAATATTTGACCATAAAGATATTGTTGTCAAAGTCAAATTTTTGCCAGCATTTATTATGCCTTCTAGTATTCTGCTTTTCAAATATTTTGTATAATTACGTGTAGAATATGAATGTCTGCAGGCTACTGAAACCTACTACATAGATGTTGCTTGCAAACTACTCCACTCTATATTATGAGGACCTGCAATCTGAACAGTAAAGGAAAACAAAACGAAAATGGTCTACGAAAATGATTTCATTAACTGCAAAAAAACACACTATATTGGTCGAAAGAGATGCCCCATTCATTTCCGCATCCAGTGATACAAACTAGCAGTCTGAAAAGGTAACATAAATTCCCTCATATCAGTACACATTGCATCCTGGAGATTTCTCTTGTATTGAGAAAGTATAAAACTCTTGAGCAGAAGAAGCAGGAAGAATGCCAGAGAATCCTTGGTGCTCAGACTTATTTGCAATAACGAATAATTAATTTATACTAGTCAATAAAGAATACTTCATATAATCAAAAGAATAAATATAGGGTCAACGAAGCGATGGTTATCAGTGCAGATAAATTCAGTGTTAGGAAAATTTTCCAAGAACAGCCAGTCAGAATCAAATTTGTCTATACGAGTTTGACCGCGGGATAATATCAGTTAGAGAACCTTTGAAAACCAGTACTGAAGTACTGGACAGCTGTTTCATCCTAGTTTTGGAATCATCGGTTGTACGCACCCACTGGATTTCAAAACCAATGCCTTCTGGTTACAATGCAAGCTCCTATACCAATTAGCCACTGGGACCCGATTCAATCTCCCATGAATTCTAACTTCTACCACCACGCAGCCGGCTTTGTAACGGTAAGGTCCTGGGTTCGAAACCCAATTAGCGCGTACTGCCGATAATTCCCAAACTAGGGTGAAACAGTTGTCCATTACTCCCTGGTGGTTTCAATGGTTCTCTAACTGATATCAATCCGTATCAATCTCAAACAAATCTAACCCGTACAAACCGAACTGTTGAAGGAGAATCAAATTTATCAGGAAAGTTCCTAGAATACCAACCTATTTTGAAGTCACAGCTGAAGATGTAGTCTGAAAGAATACTCAGACTTTACCAGTTAATCAATCCCAGCTGAGGGGATATAACAAGCCTCCGACTCCCCCCCCCCCACCGAATAAAACGACCACCTGAAGTACTAGTATCCATTGTTTCCAAAACTTAGTAATATTTTACCTATATATGTCATAGAAAAGTTTTATGTGACCGATCAGAGATGAAACCTAATAAGGCATTGGTAATTAAAGTTTTAATTACAGATAAATGTATGTAGTTGATTATTTTAACAAACTATTTAGTCTTTTGAGTGTAAAGTTGAAATTTGCACAGTTGTTGAAATATAACTATAATGTTTTTATGGCAACTTCACTCTGTGCAAACGAATAATTCCTTATAGTGTCTATAAATATCTTATTACTAATGCTCATTTCTTTAGAACTATCTAACTGTGTAAAGAAAGGATTATCCTGCCCAATGCTACCTAAATTAGCTTGCGCAAGTTTTTCTGCCTATCAGTGTATAATATATAAAGTCCGATTGAATTAGATTTCCTCACTATCGGATATGTGTACATAAGACAGCTTAAATACTTATGGCAACTTATTATTTTTCATCCCAAATTAAACAGTCTAATACAAATAACAGTAAGCGCACATTAAAAAAAGAAGAGTACTCTTACTACTCTGCTGCACTGATTTATTGCTTAATTAGAGTTTACCGTACCTAAACGGGTAATTTAAGTTAGTACAAAAGTTCAGGTATGGATCATTATATACAGTTTAACCACCCTCTATGTTTAACAAGCAGAAAATAGTATATTGGCTGAGAATGAATGAATTCATACCGCATATAGATAACCTTGGATATCTTAAGAATAATAAGTTGAATAAAGCAAAAAGAACAATTTTTGCAGAATGATATGGTACCATCATTTATTTCGTTGGCTTTTCTTCAGCTGCTTACAGCCTAGATAAATTATAAAGTCTATTTACGGAAACGTTTTAACATACTTGACAGAAGGTTCTGGACTTAGTGAACAGTAGTCAGAAAATAACAATTCTAAAGTCTTTACACAGGCAGTTCAAGTTTAAACGAAGTAAATGTATGCATACATTAGTAAAGGGGTTACGTAATAAATACGACAGATTAGTAAAGTGATGAGTAACTGATAAGTTGGGCAACAATGTACTGAGTTCAGCTCAAATCATAGGAACAAGAGACAAACAAAATTACACTATATCAAGGGGATTGAGGTTAACACCAAGGACTACGTAATTAGACGAAATACAGAATAAAGAATTCCGGTTAGCAGGGCACGAAAAGACTGATCGCTGCTTCTTTCTGAACACATAAATCAAGTTTCAGGTGTTTGATAGAGACTGCTTCGGAAAACTTGAGGAGAACTGAGCTTTTTGTCTATTGATAATTCTAAAGGATTTTGCGGTTTCCACCAGATGACCCGTATCACGAAAATGGCACTACTGTAGGCATTTGTTCCCTTGAGACGGAGGAATTTTGCTACATGTTGAAAAAATCGGTGTTCGCTTCTTTCTGTTCACCCAATGTAACTGCTCCCGCGAATGCATGTAAATTTGTATACACGGTCGGAGCGTGTTGTCCAATAAACATTGAAATTTCGTAATAAAATGCAGCGCATTGCAGTGCGTTTTTCAGTGTCAACCAGAGGTCATGTCAGTGGAAAAAAAATTCCCGTAAAACTTACAGAGCATAACATCTCACTGTAAATATTCCAAATAGACGTTCGTATACAACGACGGGTGTATGAAAATTAAGTCAGTTGAACGTAATGACTACCATGATCTGCAAACAAAGGCAGAGAGGTCTGAGATGTGATGTGAAATGCACTTATCCATCATGTCTTACTTTCATGTCCTGGTTGATTTGAATTCGATCTTACTGATATTAATGAGATAAAAAACAGAAGTGTTTCGGAGAGTTTTGCATTTTTTTGTGCAGAGTAATGGCGGTGAATATGAATTTCACACTCGAACTTCTAAAATAATTACTCTCATGTTTGTTTTCAGGTGGTCAAAATTCCTCTCTCATTGATGAAGTCATCTAGCTCATGGTTATGTTTAAATCACTGAACTACCTGAATTCTCTATCCATTAAAATGAACCGTATTCTTTAACCATTCATTGTGTTATTATTATTGTTCCTTTGGGTTCCTAGTGGAACATATGGCTTCAACTGCACGACTCCACTTGCCACTTCTGTCTTCTCATGTACGTCTCACCTGCATCCATGTTAGTCCATACTCTTTCAACTCCTCTTCACACGATCTCCTCCATGTCACCCTTGCACTGACGACCCACTCACCGCCTCCCACCTTTCGAATTCCACTCGAGAAATGGCCTGACACGCGATGTCACCAACAGGCCTCCTCAGCGAGTGTCCAATCCATCTCCACTTTCTCCTGCATATTTGTTGGTTGGCGATTGGTTCTTGTTTTGTTTGTTTGTTCCCATAGTTTCTTGTTGGTGATGCTTTCCGGTCCGCCCGGCCATCTGATCTTCAGTATAGAGCCAGCGAAGACAGTTAGTGGTTGATAAAGGTCTGTTGGAAAGGCCGTTGGAAATATTCTTTGTGACCCGCCCGCCAAGTCTCTGATCCGTATAGAAGAACTGACACATGTGTAAATCTCAATATCTGCTTGAACACATTTTCAAATAGTTTTCTACTTATTACTATTAATATTTAAAACGAATGCAGGAAGGTGATCGTGAAATATTGCAGCATGATTTGGATAAAAGAATATTGCCTCGGATGATATATTGTCGATTATTATGTTGCCTGAAGATTCTGTACACGGAGTAAATACCTTTACAGTTAAACACGCTGTATTGTGTAAAAATGTAATTTTCAGTATAAATTTATCAATCTGAATTATGGATTCCCATTAATTTTGTTACAACGATGCAAGCCAAACGTTTATAATGCATTAAAATGAAACATTATGTATTCGTGTAACAACAGAAAACAAGGGCCGGCAACAGATCGTTTTATTACGGAAATCAGCACGTATTTATATATATTTCATGTACATTATTATAGCTTATTCAAGCAGACAAACACAGTCTTCTGATTGGTGGTTTCTGATTTCTCGGAAAGTTTCGCCATATATCTGCGAATTTGCCCACGTTAAGTCTGCTGTGATTGGTTGCTGAATCAGCCTTGTTCATATTTTTTCACGGCCCATATTAGTGACCTAGTCATTGACGTAAATTAATGTCTACCAATTGGTTATCAGCCTGCTCCCACCGCATTAGGAATAAACTGTAGACGGTACAGTGGAGCGTTACAATATACCCCACGTTTATTTATTTGACGATTGTGTCCTTAAAGTAATCTGATGGGGGATGAATACCAATGGCAGAATCCAGAATGTGCACTTCGTCCTATTTGAAACCTTTCAGCCGAATGCTTCTGTATTGTCCGGCAATCGATAGAGCTCCCACTGAGACTCAAACCCAGTACCCATCGTTTCAAACACCAAACGCTTTTCCAGTAGACTAATTAAGCCAAGAGACACACACTTCTGGTGGTGCGGGAATCAGTTCTAATTTGTTTTCAGTTCGTGTATACTAGGAGTCACCATGTAAATACAGGCCGAACATTTCTGTCCGGTCAATCAGTAGGAAAATTAGAAAAGATTTGAAAACACAAATAGGGAATCTAGTTCTACTTGATAATTTCATCAGAGAATTGCAGCAAAATAGAAATATGGAAGTTAGTGTATTCAAAACTGTATATACACCTCAATGCGTCGGTGGCACAGCAGTGGAATGTTCGCCAACCACACGTGTGGTTCGGGGTTTCATTCCCGGCCGACGCATTCCTTTACCTAAGTAAGCCAGTAATAAAAACTAGTAAGAGGCAAGGTTGGGCATGAGGCCAACAACCCCATCCCTTATAAAAAAAACACGACTGTTCCTGAAATTTCCACTGAGGACTTAAAGGAACCAAACAATACATACAGCTCACAGATATGAAAATGATGTTTTTTTAAATAATAAATTATGCCAGTTGATATTAGTTGTACTTTAGATGGAATAATTCTTTCGCTTAAAACATCTACCGTAATGATTCAATATTGCAAAATGTTATTTATCATTTGAAGAAACTACAGCGGAATAAGCGGTTAAAGCAACCAAACAGTAAGTGTTTAATAGTAGGAAAAGATTCTAAAACAGTCTATGGGTTATGGAAAATGAATCAGCAGAAAATCAACAGACACTTAAGATGACTTTGTAGTCATTTTAACCAGTTGTAGTGTGAATTTTGTCACAAACCGACATTATTTTTGCTGACAGATTTAGCAGTGAACAGCTGTTTTGCTTCACTTGATCCCATCCCAGCAGTAAACGTACTCGATATGTGAACTGGAAATCCTGAGTTAAGATCTTTATTGCCGTTAACCCTAGATGGAAAGAAACGGGTGTTCAGTGCTTCTCGATTTTCAGGAGTTCTTTATCAGTTTCTCGAAGTCATTTGGTGGGTAATGACTAGCAGAGGAATCCAGGACACACATTTCGTCCTATTTGAGACTCGCCACTGGATGTACCTGCATTCCTCCAGTGAGTCATGGTGTTCCCACTGAGGTGCCCATAATTTAAAAAACGACAAAGCGGGAAAATATAAAATTGGATTAAATATCAATTTCTGATGAAGTTGAAAATGGGATATTTACCAGTTTTAGTGTTACAAATAAACCAACACTAAAACGTAATAATTCATACCTGGAGACCACTTGATATGGAGCCAGATTTTTACACCATTCACATGTTGTCTTGCTAAAAAAAAAGTAAAACGTCTCATATAACCTGACTGGAAATATACGAATAAACTTACACTAGCCAAAAATACAATATAGCGATGTAAGTTACAAGGTAGAAGCCACTGGCTAGAGCGAAGGCCAATAAGTTGAATGAATTCAAGTGAATTTAAATAAAATGCATTTACCTTCATACATGCTACTCCTCTGTCGTCTGTTCCATCAGAAAACGCTTAATAAAAAAGACAAACAAATTTAATTAAGGCAAGGAATAATAGACAATTAGAACATTTAATATAAGCGCTAATAATTTTTGTTTTTGAACAGATTTAGTACAGATGTAGAGCTCCTATATTAACTCTAACTGTACGTATATAAAACTAATTCATGTACGCATATTATACGTTAACAGACACTAATTTTATATATGCTTGTGGAATATTTACCTTTGTATTAGTGAAAATTGCTTTTCGTTTTTTACATATATATTCTAAGTGGTTACATACTTTTGCGTTCAACTCGAGCCCTTTGACATTTGATTTTGTTAACAATACATCTTTACAAGGTATCACTCATGCTTCTTAATACAGCGTTGTTTATCTTTGACCGTGCGCAGAGTCAGCATATCGTAGAATGTGAAAACGTGGATATACTATGGTATTATGATCCGAATCATATTTAGAACCCCATACAGTAAGAAACAAAGCTTCTGAATGGTTTTTTAGCCGATCTAAGATTATAAGATTATTTGTTAGGCAAAACTGATCACATATCTCATTAACAGGCTTACTTAATTATTTTTTCTTTATCCGAAGATGTGATAATCCCCGCAAATGAAACTTATTTTCAGCACTGAGGCAACAACAGCCGTCTTAAAGCTGGCTTTAGGTTTTGCTTTAAGAATTAAGAAAATTTTATTTACTAAGGAAATCATCTTCAGAGGCTGTACAGTTGTATTTATATTTAGCGAAAATGTATCGTAGTCTATTACTGAGTAATGCAGGGTGTGTCTTAACAAGTAAAAATAAAAGCTGCAAATTGCGTTTACTCAATGGCACAAAGGAAGAAAGGATTAGAAATTTCATAAGGTTTTAATTGTTGTTGAGTGAGAATAAAGGTAGTTGAGTATCCATTAAAGAATTAAAAGTTTAAAAATTAAAAGAAAAAAAAATTTCTCACAAGGAACGACTAGTGAAGAGGTTAAGACCATGGTAGAATAAGAGACTGGACAAACGTTTTCTGTATGCAAAGTTCGACGTTGCATTGAAGAACTGTCAACTACTCCACCATACACAAATGCTTTTACTTAAATAATTATTTCACTATTATCTCTCTCATATGTTCCTTTAGCGCATTTTTATCAACCTCTACTTAAATGGACACTTAAATACCTTTATTCTCATTCAAGAGCAATTTTAACCTTATCAAATCTCCATTCCGTTCTTCCCTTATGTCGTTGAGTGCTGCACAATACATAGCTCTTATTTTTACTTTTAAAGACACTTCTGAGTAATTATATCAGTTGTGTCGAACACCCTGTATCACTCAGTAGCAGAATCCTGTACGTTTTCGGTAAATATTAATACGACTGTACAGCCTGTGAAGATGATTTCATCGATAAACAGAATTTTTTTCGCTGAATGGTCTTTTCTTATCTCTAAGACATATCGCATAGACTGTTGTGTTAAGAGTTTAGGAAACAGGCGTCTAGTATGAAAAATGTATCAAGCTTACAAAATGCAGTACTTACAATATACCTTGTCCTATGAAAAAATTCCAGTTTATTTTAATAGTGCATTTTTGTCACCTTAGAAACTGATGATGGAAAGGCTCAATTAAAGGACATTTTATGCAAGGTATATTATATATATATATACTATTATTTGCATGACGAATGCTTCCGATATAAGAATAGCCTTCCTTTTTTTCAGCAATTTTAAATACCTGTAAATGTGGTCAAAGGATTTCAGCCTGATAACTTCAGTGTATCTGCCCACCTACCACATATAGTTGCCGAATATTAATTTCAACTAGAAGAATTAAAACTCTTTTTACACATCTTGAGTGTATTGATACCCGTGTTGTTTCAGGAAGTATGCCTTACAAAAGCAGCATGTGTTTTTCTTCTCTCTACTTAAGTTCTGTATTGTCTTAAATTTGGCTTTTCTATGAATATTTATCCCTCACATATCCTTCTGATATCATTACAAGGTATCAGGATTTTTAAGCATGGAAGTCTTTTTACCTCCCTTACTTTACTTTTACTATTATTTGAATGAGTATATTAGCAGAATCTAAAAATTGCTTTATGTGACATTATCAATATATTCAAACCAGGTCTTACTATATAAAGATAATAAACCTAAATGATGAAACGAAACAGACAGAAGAAGCGTTGGTTTTAAATAACTAACCATCCAATAAAATTTATTGAGAAGATAAGAAAATGTCAGAAACAGAATACAGATAATGGTGAAACTAATAATGGTGACATAAACAATAAGAAAGAATATAAGGCATCTACAGTTTTATCATATAAGGAAGGGACATCTGAGACCATACGTAGGATTCTCACTAAAGCAGGAATTACAGTGGCATTCAAACCTACAAACTCACTCAGGTAGGACAAGCTCTGTAGGTGGGTTAAAGAACCCTGTAAGTTGACCCAATTAGACAAAAAAAATAAACCTTACAAAATACCTTGCGATGACTGTGAGTTAAGTCAACTACATAGGACAAACTAATAGATCAGGAGTAGTGAGATTGCCTGTCAGAACATAAGAATATAGCTAAGGTTGGGATGACTGACCCCGCGAAGATAAGTAATTTAAAAAAAATCTCATCAGTTTTACTGCATGCATTAACGCAAAACTGCACAATAGGCTGGGACAGAGTCGAAATTCTAAAAATTCATATAAGTAGGTGGAGAGAGACGGGTTGATTACTCAATGTCTGTTCATAGAATCTATACCAAACAAGTGCGATAGGATATTGAAACCAGCTAATTATATAACAGGTTTTACTATACAAACATAATTTCTGACACAATATGCTACGCATAGCTAGAACATTTGTCACCGATTTACACTTCTTCAGATAATTCTCTGCAATAAAAATATATACTTACTTCCCGTTTGAATCATGGGTATAACTGTAAGTTCTGTGGATTGTCAGCTGCGAATATACCAACAGAAAAGTGTGTTCTAAACAATATTTAAATAACTCATTAAAATGCATATACTGAAAACTAAATCAACTTCTGTGATAGTACAAAGAACACAAAATTAAGTCCAAATTTTAAAAAAAATTGTAAATCAACTTTGATTTACATATATATATATATATATATATATATATATATATATATATATATATATATATATATATATATATATATATATATGTTGTTATAATAAGAAGAGCAGTCTGTTGTTTTAACTAATAAACATGTTTATTAGTTTATTTGAAGTTAGGCAAAGACGTATTATACGTCAAGTGGTATGAGTTAATGTGATTCCATTGAATGGTAAATTTATAGTTAATGCATCTTGCATTATTTAGAATAATACAGACATCTCTGTAAGTTGCAATACAGTCTACTTATCAGTGCACATTAATTATAATTGTATTGCAGTGGTTGTTTACACATGATGATAAGTTTTTGATTTTGGTCAAATTTCGAGCAAAACTACTACCTGTGATTGCGTTAACTGCTGAAATTGTTTTAATTAACTGTATTAAACGCAAAATTCAATTGATAAGCATGCTGATGTAATAGATTAAATTGATTTACCTATGAAAAAATTAATCCAAATAGGCACAAAGATCAAATATCGGGATAGACGGGGGGGTTATCGATATCAGCACGAGACAATATGATCATGAGAAAACATCAAGTAACAATTAACCGCTGTCATTGTTACTACAAAAGACAGATATTTCACACACAGCTCACTCACTTTATACGGAGGTTTGCACTGAAAGTGTTTTTCAGAAGGACACTAAAAGCTTCGCAATTGAAACATCCACTTTAGGGGACGCTAAAACACACAAAAAACAACCGACTCAGATGTACATCGTTCATATTTGAAATTGTATTGATGTATATTTATTACGAAAGTTGTCTGAATGTGGTTTCAGTTTGGATCAAGATCAATTTCAACGTTGGTCCTGACTGACTGGAGAAATTGTGTTGACCAATATGAAGAAAAAAATGTCAAATTGTCATGAATAATACTATTTCACTTTACTTGAACGGCTCTTCTAAATTATTCGTCAGAAAAACAGTTTTGTTGGGTTCCGAGTAGAATATAACGCTTCAGTAGCACCTCTTCATTTCATCCTGTTCTCTGCAGTCCTCTTCAACTGTCTCACCAATCACTTATTGTCTTCGGTCTCCATCTCACTCGATCTCTGCCATGTGACACTCTGATACACACTCAACTCACCGTTCCCCATTTGACTTCCACTCGAATGATATTGCTCAACCGTCTCGTCAGCGTATGTCCGATCCACCTTAATTTTCTCCGTTATATTTTTCAAGCTATAGGTTCTTGGTTAGCCTTTTTCAAGAGTTACCTATTGTTAATCTTTTCTGACCATCTGGTCTTTAGTATGTCGCCAGCGAGAGAAGCCGTCGATGGTAGAATGAAATGTGTTCGAAATGTTTTTGGTGATATGCCAAGTCTCTGAACCATATAAAAGAAAGGATTTGACATTAGTGTGGAAAGTTCCAATCTTGTTCCTTATGCTGAGTGCAACAGATCTCCAAAATGATTTCAGAGTAACTAAAGTTTGTTGTGCTTTTCTGATAATGGTTGGCTTTGGCATATTCCTAGCGCCTGCATTTGATACTATGTTCTTCAGACAAGCGAAAGAGGTAACTTCATATAGGTTTCTAGATAGTGATTGAGACTCGTTTTTGTTGGTTGGTTATTTCCCGCCCCCTCTCCATCTCTATGTTCACCTGAAGTCCTGTATTTACCGCTTCTTCTGCTAGTTTGTTGGTTTTCGTCTGTAAGTATTGGAGTTTGTGTGATATTAGAGATGTATCATCCGCGAAGTCCAGATCTTCTAGAGTCTTCTTGTCGGTTCAATGGATTCATGTCTTCTCACCCCCCCCACAGTCTGACACATTATCTAGTACACAACAATCAGGAATATCACCAGTGATAATAGTCAGCCATATCCTAATCGTGTTCTCACTTCAAACGCTTTGCTGAGTTTTTCACTAAGAATCACTTGGTATGTGGCATCCTCATGTCGCTATTAATTAGGCTGATTAAGGTTTGTGGCACTTTATTATTTTTTATTATTATTTTATTTTTTTGATTACAGCTTGATTCCACACTGTGTTTTTGGTACAAGTATGGAATTTTCAGCATGGATATCGGTAGCCCAAATTTTGCATGTCAACCATAGATATCAGGTATGCGTCGGTAGGAGATCGAACCTCGGACCATGTGCATGGTCAGCGAGAGTCCTAACCACTGTGCCACCAACGCACTCCGTATTGCTGAAGCAGTTTCCAGATACATTTATGGTCCATTTTATCGAAGGCCTACTCAAAGTTTATTCTCTGTTCGACGATGATGTGTAGCCCTGTGATTTGGTCCGCACCTGATTAACTTTCCTAGAATCCATCTTGTTTCAGGTGGAGTTTTATTTCCAGACAATCTCTTAACCTCTCTAAGATGAGATGACTCAATAGTTTCCTTGGGATTCACAGGATCATCATTTCACGCGTTTTTGCAAAGTTCTAAGTTGCACTTTTTCGGTAGTTTGACGAAGTAGCCTTCCTTCCAAAGTTCCTGAAATAGTATCGTGAGGATATATACACGATGCGGAATCTGGATGCATTTTCGGTGCTTCCTGGGGAATTTCATCTGGTTCCTCTACCTTCGGTAACTTTATGGCATTCAGAACTGCTTTTGTTTCAGAGCTGGTGGCCACTGACAGTTCTCCTGCTGGTGGTTAAGGTGTAACAACAGAAGGCAATACATGGAAGCCAAAGTATATTTTCATTAGTCAAACCGCTGTTTATATACGTGCAGTTTATATTCTTTAACCAGTCACTGAGCGTGTGATTTCGGTTTACATCAAACGACACGAAATAGAATGTTCAAATATACATTGTATTCTATTGCTCATGCAGTATTGAACTGTGGGAATAACATTCTGACTGTAACATATATTAGAATGTTCAAATAGATATATCGTATTCTGTTGTTAATTCGGAATTGAACTATGGGAACATGTGAGAATAACATTCCGTTGGCACATATTGTCTGTATCACACAACCACAGTGGTATTTCTGGAGGAATTTCAGGTGATGGTCGATTCAAGAGTTGTTTGAAGTGATCAGTCCATCGTTCCCCTTGCCTCTCCTCCTTGGCAATTAGGTGCCCTCAACTATCTACCATTCGTTCTACCTCCGTCGATATCACCCCGGATAGCGACGTGGTTATCTAATATAATGTTCTGAGATCTCTCTTACGTGCAGTTTGTAGTGCTTCGGATATCAGTGTTCCCTTGGAATTGTCATTTGTCCTTCTTGGAACTCTTCTTCACTTCTTTACACACTGAGTTATATGGGGAACTCAGACTTTCGTTGGGGCGCCCATATTTGCACTGGTTAATCTTCTGTTACATCACTGCTCTTTCCCCATTTGGCTTCTAGTGTCGGTGGAAAGTGATTCCTTGTCTTGCATTCTCTTCCTACCTAAGACAGCTACAGATAATTCTTTCAGCATCACTTTCAGAGAATTGCAGTTTTCTTCCATGCAGCTTTCGTCTGCGATACAACATAGTGTCTCAAAATTTGCTCTGATCTCTCCAGTAAATGTGTATTTTGTACTTCAATCCTTCAGCTTCTGAGTGTTAAACTTGAATCGTGGTCAATCTCTAGCTTCTCAGGAGGCTCTCAACTTAACCCTAAAAGTTCTGTGCACTAGACAATAGCCTGATTCCATGTCTGTTTCTCTTCTCAATTTCTTGCACAGTAAAGTGCGCCTCCACTTTTTGAGACTGAGATAATTTCTATAGGATTCTTGGTTTGTCCGTACTTTGAAATCTAAGTCTTCTTGTATACACGCTTGTGTTTGTACAAGGTGCCTCCGGTCACCGAATCACTGAATGCTCACAAATCTGCAAGGAGTTCGCTGTTCCCATTCATTTCGCCAAGAGCTTCTCGACCTATGACGATTTCCATTCCCGCGTCACCTGTCCCTAATTTGACTTTTATGACACCTATTGGGATTTCGAGATCGCTTAATGGCATCTTGCCCATTACTGTTTACACCTGTCTGTGGATACGTTTCTTCGCTTGATTTGTGCTTTTCGTAGGCTCATAGCATTGGCTAATTATGCCTTTACTTCCTATTGAGTTGGAAGTTTCTGTTATTAACCTCAAGGAAACTGTAACCTACTGCATACGACCTTTGGCTGCTATTGGTGACATCATGATAGCCCCCTCTCAATGTACTTGCGGTTGCTGCCTGGGTGACCGCAGTAGATTCCTGATTCTCCACTCGTCACTTGGGACAGTCCACATCCATTTTAACTGCACTTCTGCACCTCATCTTCTCATCTCTTTTGCAATCTGAGCAGCCCACTCAGCCTCGAAGATCGTGCATACATTCAAAGTTCCAATGCTTATTTTTGGTTTCACAGAAAGAAGACATATTGACTGATTGGCTTTTCGAAGGCCTCATGAGCCCACCTTATTTCTTCGGCGCGATTTCAGAGAAGAACGGAATTATTTTCACTTTTTTTCTGTGAGTTGAACTTTTTACGGTGACTTGGTCGGTTTTTTGGGATAGGATCACTGGCCCCACACCAGTCGTTTTCTGTTTTTTCGGTCTTGGGGCCGGTTACTGATCTAGTAATCTAGGTGATGTTGTTCCTAACCATATTCTTAGCTCTAGTTTTGAAGGCAATGTTCATAATGCCATTCCTGCAGTTTGTTGGAAAATTTAACTCAGTGACATAACAGACGATACCGATAACTGTTCAGCTATATTCTCGGCGGATGCTGATGATGTACACGGATGGATCTGTCTCGACTACTTGTAGAAGCTGAACGTTTGAAAAGGTTCTCTTTATTTTAGAAAGGCTGCATTCTTAAGTAGTCCTAATCACTGG